TGGTCCCAGCTACCTAGGAGGCTGAGGCAGGAGACTCGCTTGAGCCCAGGAGTTGAAGGTTGCTGTGAGCTGTGATGCCATGGCACTCTACCCAGAAGGATAGCTTGAGGCTCTGTCTCAAAAAAAAATTAAAATTAAAAAAAAAATCATAACTATGATGGTTAGCCAATGAGTACATATAATTTGATATATATTTCACCACATGTATAATATTTTCCAAATTTAATTTTACCTATCATTAGTTTTTTTGTGGAAGGACACAATTGGTAACCATATCCTCAACTGCTTTTTTTTTTCTTTCTTTTTTCTTCAACTGCTTTTTTATCACCCATTTAACAGGTTATAAATTCAGAAGGTGTGAATAAGAAAGCAGAGTCATTTAATAGTCTAGTTGAAAGAATGACTTCTGTGAACTATGAACCATCTTCAAATAAAGCAAGTGAAAAGATTAATTTGTTACTGGACTGTGATGATTCTGTTTCTGAAAGGTAGGCATTTCCATAAAGATACATAAACTTACTTATCTAAGTCTGTGCTTCTAAACATATACCCTTCTCTTAAAGCATAAAATTGCTTAAAGCTTCATATTTGTCACTATCTTTTGATTCTCCAAAGCTTTAATCATTGTTGTTCTAACAGTACTAAAGTTTTGATTTATGGCTTCATGCCCATAGCTCAGTGAGTAGGGAGCCAGCCATATACACAGAAGGTGGTAGGTTCGAGCCTGGACCAACCGGGCCTGCCAAACAACAATGACAACTGCAACCAAAAAAAAAAGGCCGGGTGTTGTGGCAGGTGCCTGTGGTCCCAGCTACTTGGGAGGTCGAGGCAAGAGAATCACTTGAGCCCAACAGTTTGAGGTTGCTGTGAGCTGTGATGCCATGGTACTCTACCGAGGGTGACATAGTGACACTCTGTCTCAAAAAAAAAAAAAAAAAAGTTTTGATTTACTTAAGGGATCAGTTTTTTTGTTTTGATGCGTCCCATGTTTGATAGTGATTAGAGTGACCTGCTGGATCACTCTAGTAGTTTTCAGTTATACACATGAAAAAAGCAAGATATTATGAAACAGTGGTTTTCAAATACTACAAGGAAGAAGTTGGCCACAGTGATGGATGTTTTCTGGGAGACTGAGGCAGGAGGATGATCACTTGAGCTCCGGAGTCAGAGGCTATAGATTGCAGTACTGGTGCTTGTGACTAGCCACTGCACTCCAACTTGAGCAACACAGTCAGACCCATCTAAAAAACACGTCACAGACAAATAGGTGCCTAAAATTAGTTCCGTTGTTGAAAGTAGCATCATGACAACTTCAAAGTATAATAAAGAAGTTCACTTATTTGTGTCTGATTGCTTCATAAAGTAGCTAAGACATCTATTCTCCAACTAGTCCAAGCGATATTTGGGACTGGTAAAGAAGAAGTATTTCAGTTTAACAAAGCAACGTGATTAGTGGTCCTGGCCTGGAGTGATGTTCAAAGCAGGGATAGGCGAGATGTTAATGAATTCTTTTCTTATCACTGGTGATTTTTTAACATTTTTTGAGCCTTATAAGATTATTTTTAACATTCAATCCTTAAAAATACCCTGTAGTTAAAAGAAAAAAAAACCTATAGTTTTACTTATATATGTTATGTCTCAGTTTTTATTTTGTTTTATTTTATTTTTTTACATCTCAGTTTTTAAAAAGAGGAAAATATATAACCACAAATAAAAGAATTCATTGACAGCCATTATTTGAAGAACACCCTTTCCTGCAAATAAGCTGTGAGCTGTGATGTCACAGCACTCTATCAAGGTTGGCAAAGTGAGACTCTGTCTCAAAATAAATAAATAAAAGTCTATTATTGTACTGGGCCTAGTGGCTTTATTTATTTATAGTTTTTGGCCAGGGCTGGGTTTGAACCCCCCCCCTCCAGTATATGGGGCCAGCACCCTACTCCTTTGAGCCACAGGCGCCACCCTATATTTCCTATTTTTTTATTTTTTTTGAAACCGCATTTCACTATATTGCCCTTGGTAGAGTGCAATGGCGTCATAGCTCATAGCAACCTCAAACTCTTGGGCTTAAGCGATTCTCTTGCCTTAGCCTCCCAATTAGCTGGGACTACAGGTGCCCATGACAACACCCAGCTGTTTTTGTTGTTGTAGTTGTCATTGTTGTTTGGCAGGCCCAGGCCGGGTTCAAACTCTCCAGCCCCAGTGTATGGGGCCGGTGCCCTAGCCACTGAACTATAGGTGCCGAGCCAAGACTCTGTCTTTAAAAAAGAAAATAGAAAAATTAGCCAGGTATTGTGTCGGGTGCCTATAGTACCAACTACTGGGGTGGCTGAGGCAAGAGGATTGTTCAAGCCCAAGAGTTTGAGGTGAGACTCTGTCCTTCCACCCCCAAAAAATCAATTTAAATTTTTTTTTTTTTTTGAGACAGAGTCACTATGTCACTCCTGATAGAGTGCTGTGACATCACAGCTCACAGCAACCTTAAACTCTTGGGCTTAAGCCTCAGCCTCCCAAGTAGCTGGGACAACAGGCCCCTACCACAACACTGGCTATTTTTGTTTTTGTTGTTGTTGCCTGAGCCAGCTTTGAACCCACCAGCCCCAGTGCATGTGACTGGCGTTCTAACTAGTAAGCTACATGTGCCAAGCCATCCATTAATGTAATTTGCCAGGAGAACAATCATTATCCCCTTAGAATAGATGCAGGACTTGATAAAATATTTATTTACACAAAACAAATTCTTGGCAAACTCAGAATAGGAGGTAACTTCCTTAACCTGACAAATTATCTATAAAAACCTTAAGACAAATGTGTTTGTGAAACCTCGGAGTATTACCTTTGAGTTATAAAACAGGAGGAAAATGGCTACTCTCACCCCTTCATACAGTGCGATTCGTGTCAGCTAATGCTAAGTGCCAACGAATGGGGGTGGGGGAAGAAAATACAAAGGACTAGAGGAGACGGAAAAATTTTACTACTATTCTTGGATGATTGGGGTATATATGTGGGAACTCCACAGAAAACTACAACAAATACTAGGATTAATAAGAATTAAACAAGATTGCTGAACTCAACCTATATACTGAACATAACCAATCAGGAAATGAAATTTTTAAGAAGATACCATTACAGCAGGATCAAAATATACCAAATACCTATGAATTCAGTTAATAAGGCATGTAACAACTCAGAAGAAAATTACAAAGCATTATTGGGATATATTAAAGAAGAATTAAATGGAGAGAAAATACACTTTGTTTATGGTTTGGAGAAAGCAGTATTATAAGATGTTTTCACTTCTTCTTTTTTTTTGAGACAGTCTCAATTATGTTGCCCTTGGTAGAGTGCCGTGGTGTCACAGCTCACAGCAACTTCAAACTCTTGGGCTTAAGCAATTCTCTTGCCTCAGCCTCCCAAGTACCTGGGAATACAGGCACCTGCCACAATGCCTGGCTATTTTTTGTTGCAGTTGTCATTGTTGTTTAGTTGGCCTAGGCCAGTTTTGAACCGCCAGCCTCAGTGTATGTGGCTGGTGCTGTAACCACTGTGCTACGGGCACCAAGCCAAAATGTTTCATGTTTGTTCAAGTTAATTCTACAGAGTACAGTTTCAATTCATATCCTAGTATGTAAGTTACTTATGGAATTGAATAAGCTTCTTTGATTTTAAAATATATATATATATATGTAAATGCAATGGGTTAAGAGGTCAAAATACCCTTTAAATTGAGAAAGAAAATGGAAAGAATTTGCCATTACAAGCTCAGTGTGACATAGCTCAGTGGGTAGGGTGCCAGCCACATACACCGAGGCTGGCGGGTTCGAACCCAGCCAGGGCCAGCTAAACAATGACAACTGCAACAACAACAACAACAAAAATAGCCTGGTGTTGTGGCAGGGACCTGTAGTCCCAGCTACTTGGCAGGCTGAGACAAGAGAATCACTTAAGCCCAAGAGTTTGAGGTTGCTGTGAGCTGCACTCTACCACTGCACTCTACCAAGGGCAACATAGTGAGACTCTGTCTCAAAAAAAAAAAAAAAAAAACTATAGTAATAGGATAATGTGATACTGGCTAGTACTGGACAAATAGATTATTTTAACAGTCTAGAAACCAACTCATCTATGTATAATGTCTTATGTTATGGAGCTTGTATGACAGATCATTTGGAAAATAATTGACTTTCAATAAATGGTGCTGTCATAATTTGCTATTTATGTTGAGGAAAATAGAATATTGGACCCCTTTGTCAGGCTATATAAAAATTTTGTGGATTAAGGAACTAAATGAAGGAAAATTAGAATAACAGAATGCCTTCATAAACTTGGATAGGGAAAGATTTCTTTCTTTCCTTCCTTTTTTCTAGACAGTCTTATTTTGTCACCCTCGGTAGAGTGCCATAGTGTCATAACTCACAGCAACCTCAAACTCTTGGGCTCAAGAGATTCTCTCACCTCAGCCTCCTGAGTAGCTGGGACTATAGGCGTCTGCCACAATGCCTGGCTATTTTTAGAGATAAGATCTTGCTCAGTCTGGTCTTGAACCTGTAAGCTTAGGGGATCCGCCTGCCTCGGCCTCCCGGAATGCTAGGATAACAGGCATGAGCCACCGTGCCTGGCTAGTGAAAGATTTAAGACACAAATGCCCTTGCCATAAAAGAAAAATTGAGGCAGACATGGTGGCTCATGCCTGTAATTCTAGCACTCTCAGAGGCCAACGTGGGTAGATTGCCTGAGCTCATTGGTTTTGAGACCAGCCTGAGCCAGAGTGAGACCCCTGTCTCTAAAAATAGCCAGGTATTATGGCTGGTACCTATAGTCCCAGCTACTCGGGAAGCTGAGGCGAGATAATCACTTAAACTCAAGAGTTTGAGGCTGCTGTGAGCTGTGATGCCAGGGCACTCTACTGAGAGTGACATAATAAGACTCTGTCTCAAAAAAAAGAAAAGAAAAAGAAAAATTGATCTATCGTACAACATTAAAATTAGAAACTTCTTTTCTCAAAAGGCACCATAAAGATAGTGAGAAGAAGACAGGCCCATCGAGTGGGAGGAGATAGTCACAATACATACAACCTGTAGAGGACTAGTACCCAGAATATATATAAAGAAATTCAACAAATCAATGAGTAAAAGCCAAATAAGAGAAAAATGGGCAAAAGACTTGTATGGCCACTTCACAAAAGAAGAATTCCAAATGGCCAAAAAACATATGAAAATGTGTTCATTTTCATTAGTAATCAGGGAAATGCAAATTAAAACCACAATGAGATTTCTTATCAGGTAAGGAAATAAAACATTTAAAAAATCTGACAATACTGGGTATTAGTGAGGTTTTGAAATGAAGAGAATTGTTTTTATCTAACGTTTTGTTGTTGGTCAATTAAATTGGTACAGTATTCTTAGAACAAATTTGGCATTCCCGAGAACTATTGAAGATCTGGACAGCCTTTGACCTGGCAGTCTCCTTCCTTGATGTAGACCCTAAGCAG